AAAAAAAAAAAAAAAAAAATAAAAAGAAAAAAAAAAAAAAAAAAAAAAAAAAAAAAAAAAAAAAAAAAAAAAAAAAAAGAATCAAAATAAAAAGTCAAATTGGGAGATCAAAATGGGGAAAGCAAAAACTATCGAATGAGAATTAAAGAAATCAGTCACCCAAATCGAGAAAAATCATAATACATCCATACTACTACTGTACTTACTAACTTACTACCTAACTCAACTCCTCCCAAAAAAAGTTGCGACAGATCCTGGCCATCCCAAGAGGGTCTGGACTCATCTGGGAGGCTTCCAATCCCTCCCTCCATCTTTCCATCCCCGCCCAGTTTCAACCTCTCGATGGGCCATGAACTCCCTAAACTAACCTGCAACTACTGCTTCTCCTTCTGACGGATCTTTTGTTCGCTCATGCTCGTCCCATCCACCATTCGTACCTTACCCATTTTCTCCCCTACTCTTTTCTGCCTCCCCTCCCCTCCTCTTGCTTTTTTGCTTTCCTCCTAATCCATTCTCACCTTAGTTTCATCCTTGACCCTCTCGGACCTTTCGACCAACCCGGGTGTGGGGATGGTGGATGCTCCATTTAATTGATAACCTCTTCCCACCTCATCTGCCTCCTCGTTCTTTATCGTTATCGTCATCTTCCTTGTCAACATCCATCTGGCACTTCCCATTGTTCTCTTACTCCACCGCGCCTTCATATATCTCCTCCCCCCATCTGTCTCTCTCTCTCTCTCTTACCTACTCTCTCCCTCCTCCCTTTTCATCATCTCATCTCATCTCATCTCGTTCAACAATTTTCCCTTCCCCTACTATCTTACGCCTCACGACCCTTCTATCTTATCTGTACCGGCCTTGCCTCCTTCTGCCGTGTACTCCTCTTTCTACACTTCAGTGCCTGCCCTGTTGATCTCAGTGTCTATCGGGCTATTCTCTACTACTCTCTATCTCTATATTCCGGTCAGTCCTTCCCCTCTCGTGGTCGCTCTGAGGTGCAAGTCACCAAGAGGGATTTCTCCTGCCATACATATACTAAATCGCGCTAGCTCTAGAAATCCTCTCCAATCCCCTGAAGTCACTTGATACTGATAGCAGCACCTCCCTCCTCGCTCATCCTACGTGAGAAGAGGCAGCACTCAGCGAGGACTTCTTCACCCACTATGGCTGGCACCATGGCCGACGACGAACTCTTCACAAGGGCCATCTCTGGGTATCGGGACGCTTTCTTGGATCGACACTCCCATCTTCCGGAATCAGAGCGAAACGAACTTTGGAGTCAGCGGTTAAGTCAGTTCATGACCACCACGGCCTCTTCTTCCATATCCTCTGTCGCCTCGTCCAGTTACCGCCCGGTTCCCGGTTCTGGTCTTCCTGAAGATGGCGGCGCGGCTCTCGAGAAATCTGGGAAACGGTTACGACAGGATACCCCCCGGACCCTACCTGGTTCTGGTCTTCCTCCACCGAAACGACGAGTCACCGTATGTGATCTATCTTGGTCTTCTGCTCCCGCCTCTCCTCCATACCTGCGTTTTTACCCATTCTGTCCCTCCCGCGCTATTCCATGATCTTGTTCTCTTCTGTCATCTCCCGCCAACAGTCCTTGGATTGACACTTGGCAGACTCCGGAACCTCCAGTGACCGTTGATCTGACGCGCGAACTGTCTCATGCGTCTTCGCCGGCGGCTCCTGAGACTACTCGACGCCTCTCAAGAACGAATTCTCGGAAAGGCAGCTCGGTCTCTTACTCTGGTCCTGGGCCCTCCTCCCGGCACACGGCTATGGTCCGCTCGCAGAGTCAGCAGATACCGGTTGCTCACCGTCCGTCGCTGACAACCCCTGCAACGGGCTTTCGACACTCCTATGGACCCCAGCGTGTGCAGCGCCGCCTTGACCATGTCAACGAGTACACGCCCTCCGAATACGCCAAACAGTACTTGGATGATTTCCAGGGCCAGGGGCACGTCTCGGCACTTTCTATGGCGCTTTCTGCGGATTCGACGATGTCTGGACTTCGGCAAGAACCCCAGTTAAATCAGGGCCAGCCTGACCTGATGGCGACGAACTTCACTGCCATGTCCAACCCCACCATGGTCGAGCAGCCGGTCCAGCCGGCTGCCGTGGAAATGAGCAGGAGTACCACTACGGACTCGCTGTGCGGAGGTTTGGGAATGATGAGATTCGATTCCTCGGGACCGAATCTGGACTCCAATTTCTCATTTTCCGTCCCCTCTGAATTCGTCACCTCCACCTCCCCCATGAACGTCCCCTTCCCTGCTTCTTTCTCATCTATGCACCGACACCCAAATCCCGAAGTCCCCCTCCCCTTCACTGAGCCCTCTGGCTCGATGTCATTTTCTTGCTCCGCTCCATCCTCCACATCCTTCCATCCACCCATTCCTACACTTTCTCCGTCCACTGCGACGGAGATGAGGCCTTCTATGTCTGTCGAGAGCGACAACTCGTCTCTCTCTCAGCCATCGAGGGCGGCTCGCAGGACCCAAGAACAGATCGTTCAGGGTACTCGACCCATTGCTCCTAAAGCCGAGCCACACAGCAGCTCACCCCCCAAGGTGGCTGAGCAGCACAAGATGATTCGCATTTCATCGGAGGATGGTACTGCCAAAGAGGTTGCAGCCATTCCCAAGGCCTCGATACAACGGCCCCCACGTCCGAAGACGTATTGTAACATGTGCAACGACCAGCCGGATGGCTTTCACGGAGAGCACGAGCTGCGTCGACACATTGAGCGGGTCCATGCCGTTGTTCGCAAGGTTTGGGTTTGTGTTGACATTTCTCCTGGCAAGACATTCCTGGCCAACTGCAAGGCTTGTCGGAATGGCAAAAGATACGGTGCTAACTACAACGCTGCCGCTCATCTTCGTCGCACCCACTTCAACCCGTGCCAAAGAGGCCGTGGTGGTCGTGGCAAAGACAGCGAGAAGCGCGGCGGCAAGGGCGGCGGAAATCATCCTCCCATGGATGTCCTGAAGCATTGGATGGTGCAGAAAGAGGAGATCGTCCTCGAAAATGCCCAGAACTATATTGACCAGGATGCGCTAGGCGATGACATGGCGGCTGCTCCGCCTGCGGCCTCCGAGGACATTGCGTTCTCTGGATTGCCACAGACGACGGTCGAAGACATCTCTTCCCAGGGTATGGACTCGACATTTGTGAACGGATTTGAGTCCTTCACTGCGATGCCGACGATGGTCATGGACCCATCGATGGATGCTGCTCCTTGTTACTTCGATTCTCAGACGTTACCACCTGAGATCGATTCGTATGTGTGATTGTATAAACCTCAGCCCAGCGGCTGATCGCTTTCTCATTTACCTCCCCTGAGGGGCTCGAGACTAGATCTTTGGTTACTCATGGGTTTCTTGTTGATACTATACATCTTGAACCTTGATTCTTTTTGGGGCTGTTTCCATATTCTTCACGTTGCACTTTTCGCCTATATTTCGTGTGATAAATTCTCACTGGCTTTTCTTTTCTTCTCATTTTCTCTATTCTCATTTCCTTTTTCCTGTTCCTAATCATTCCTCTTCTAATTCTTCTCCTACCATTTTTTTTTCTCGTTTTTTCCCCTTCTTCTTCTTCTTCTACTTCTTCTTCTTCTTTTCTTTCAGTGATTCTTTTATCTTCTATCTTCTCTTCTCTTCATTCTTCGGACTCCAGAGGGCCGACCAAGTCGACCTGGTGATGCCCCTGATGGGCGCTACGACATAATGTGTGATGATGAGCAGTCAATCAGCCAGTCTCAGATTCGTGAAATATATTGATTTAACGCACGTCGTGCATGAGAGCCACGGTCCCCCCGAGTACAAGCCTCGGGACTAGGGTATGATGGGGAAGACCACTGCCAACTTTGCAGGACCTATTTTGGTAACTGCAGCCTACTCTTGCTAAAGGATACTAAGATACGCAGGGACCCTGCTCGAAGATGCCACGGGCGGTGACCGTAAGGTAGGCGGTGCAGGTAGGCGGTGACGCCGGGGCGTGGCTTTGTGCCGGCACCCGACTGCCACGAAGTTGGGCGCAGTGATTGCGCGCAATTTTAGGGGTCTCATGAGCGCCGGGGCATGCAGTGGAACTGCAGGGCAGCCCTCCTGCCAATGATGGCGGCGATCCTTCGGCCAGCCGACGACGGTTGGCTGACAACTAACCTTTCATTCCCTGAGCCATCGCCCGTGGGCGATGGCAGTGGGGCGCAACCCCGAACACCAGGGCGGTGATTGGTAGGCAGACAGTGCTGGCCCCGACCGCTGAAGGGGTTGTCCGACAGTTGTTCCAGGACAAATTCCCCAAATCAATCATAGCAGGAACTGTCGTGGCTGGTGCCTGGCGGTAACTGGGTCCTGTAGGGCTGCGCTAATGTGGCTGAGTCCGGGCGGTGCTGTATGAGACCAGTATGTATGTATTGTAATTATGGGCTGACGGTCCCCTTCGGTCGGAGAGGGAGAGCTGGTTCTCTCTCTCTCACTTCAGTTTTCTCTGCACTTTGGAGGAAATCACGACAGATGATCACATAGCTTTAGATAGCACTTATTTTGGATTCAATATTAATAATTTTCCATTCTTTCCCTCAGTCACTCATCGGGTGCTTTTCCCTGTTTCAGGCTGGGTAGACATGGGCGGCTAGGATTATTTTCTGGCGCCCTTCTAGTTGGGGGTGGGGGCGTAAACAGGATTGCACTACTGCTCACTATTGGCTCGTGGGACCTTGATTGCTGTAAGGTGTGTTACAACTTACGAGAAGAAGAGCAGGGGAAGTGAATGGAGTGTAATTTTCTTAATAAGTGGTCTTCCCTTCAGGTTCTCTCTCTCTCTCTGTCTGACTGTCTGACTGTCTTTCTTCCTTTCTCTCATCCAACCAACCAAAACCTTAAAAGACCTGAACGGCGGCTCAGCGATCTTCTCCTCTTTCTCCGCCTCCTTTCGCCTTTCCAACCCCTAGCGATCGTTCCTCTTCCTGCTCTTCTTCCCTCTTCCTCTTTTCCCCCCTCCCCTTTCTTACCTTTCCGCTTTCCATCGACTCCGTTTAGAACTCGGCGTTGTCTTAGGTACGCTTATTTCCCTTTTATTGGCCAACGCAAGGCTGGGCTTCCGTCCTCCGTCCACTCCCTCCGTCCACTCACTCATCCTCTTTCTCTTTCTTCCATCCGCTACTGTCAACTGCCAAGTTCACCACGCTGACCCAGTCCTATCTTTTATTTCTACACACAGACTCTTTTCCTTCACAATGAGCGCTCCCGGATACTACAACGGCCCTCCTCCCCCGCCCCAGGCGTAAGTCTTTCCGCCCTCCATTGCGCCCGATCTCCTGTGGTTTTTGCACCGGCCATTCGGATTCAAAGCGACCGCGGCGTGTTGGTTCAGGAACCCGTCTTGAGACTGGCTTGTTACCAAGCTTTTCGACACTGGTCTTTTTCTTCCTGGGCTGGCCAGCGGTCGCAGAGTGTCTACTTACACCATACCCCGGATTTGCGCATTGTTCTGACTTGGTCTCCGCACAGGTACCCTCCCCAGGGCTATCCGCCTCCGCAGGGTGGTTATCCTCCCCAGGGATACCCCCAGCAGCCCTACCCTCCGGTACGTGATACCAGTGTTATGTGCAGTCATGCGATCGGACTCTGACCGGACAACAGATGCAATACCAGCAACAGCCTCCTCCCCAGCAGAAGGACCGCGGATGTCTCGGTGCCTGGTAGACCTCACCCTTGCTGAATTTCGTCGCACCGCATCTTACTAATCCGACCGTTATCACCATCTAGCCTGGCCACGCTCTGCTGCTGCTTCCTGTGTGAGGAATCCTGCGAATGCTGCTTCGAGTGCATCGAGTGCTGTGAAATGTGTTAAGCTGTGATCGATTACGGGTGCTACCTCGAATGTAGCGAGGGCTGCGCGACCAACCGAGCTCTCACGATCGATATACGACCTCGACGATACGATAAATTCCCCTTTCATCGCGTGCTACACTAGACCGGTCGAGTCCAGGGGCGCCGGGAAGCGCTGCTGTGACAGCTGCAGTTGCTACGCGGTTTTTGTCTATTTTCTTGTTAATCTACCCATCGCGTTACTGTTGTCTTCCTTCGTCGTGCCCCCATGGGAATGCTCTTTTTTTCTTTTTTACCTCTTCTATTCTCCTTTCTGTTCAATATGGGTGATCCCGGATATATGTGTTTAGAAACCCGGGGTGGTGCTTGGAACGGGGAGGGAGGTGAATCATCCTCTTTGCTTCATGGCGCTTTTCTTAATTGATGACTTGTGAACTTTTCCCCTTTTGCCGCATTGGCTACCCCAGTAATTGCCATCATCCCGAAATGTCCCATCATCTGTGCATGCTACACCCACAATGTGATACAGATACACAGTGTAGACTGCATTTGAAGCATTTACCTTTGATGAAGAAAAATCCTGGACATCTTGGCAGAGTCTGCAGCTGTCATGGCTAGGGGCACCTGCGACTCTAGTTCCCTTTCCGTCTGAGCTTGAATCCAAAGCCAAGCCCACCGCCAGGAGAATCCAACCAATAACGGTCTCTCCGATTGGTGGTACCGTTCAATCTGGCAGAGCGGGTTTGGGCTAGGCAGCATTCATAACTAATGCGCTGTCCCGATGCTTCGGGCCGACCTGAGTGGCTGGCTGCCTAGATCCAGGAGGCCCTGCAGGAGTAATAGTAGATCTTTCTTCAGTTGTACGTAAGTAGATCGAGGTTTTCGCACTTGACGTAACTTTTTCACCTATAAATACCTTATAGAGCATCGACCATGTTCTTTGGGCTTGGCTGCAGGTGAGCGGGGGGAGGTATACCTCTCTCTCCTAGGCAAGTAGTTATGTTTGCATACTATGGATATAGACAAAGCTGTCAATGTGATCATAGATGTGCACGCGGATTGAGTGGGTAGAGGAATAAAATCACAGCAATATTTCATTCATGAGATGAAACAAATGCTAGTATAAAATCTTCATGATTGCTCCCTTGGATATACTCTTCACACGTAGTACCTAGCAGTAGTAGGAGCAAGTAGCAGATGAACATATTAACCTCAACTGATAAGAGGCTATACTATGTATCACCATATTACTATGATGATCTAGCAGTAGTATTGATCCCTCCATTTTCTCTACTAATAAAGACACTCCATCATCAATGTAGTATATCACACCTCAACCTCAAAAACTACCATCAAGAGCACTCCACCCACAACAACCAACGCCCCCATCATCTCAAGCCCAATAACTCCCACAAAACTCCAAGGAACCAGAGCCAGTTGCCTCTCTGGCCTCTTTCGCACCGGCTCAAAATACACCGCTGATGTGACCGTCAGAAAGGTCAAAACCCAAATATACCCAAGAATCTTTTTCCAAATCCCTGGCTCCTTTTGACTAGCTCTACTTGCCTCCGAGGTTGATGAACCCTGAAATCTTTTCCTCCACACGGCCTGGACACCATCTTCAATCATGTACCCCAACACGAATGATAAGAAAAACACCATAGCGCCAGACTCGCCCATCGGTATATTCCCTACCACGTCCGCAGTAAGGTGTAGAATACCCGATAGGAGGAACACACAAAACACATGGGTATATCGATCGTTCCAGGAATGATGATTTAGCCAGACCGAAAACATCACGAGTGATGTAGTTGCTTATGGCAGTGAACTTGATGCAGAGCAGTTGATGCCAGAATTTTCTGTTTGAGTCGTGTTAGTATGTATACAAAATGATGTATTATATATAGTATATATATATTTTCTCTAGAAAAGAAAGAGATGAAAGAGCCACCCACCCCCAGAAATTCCGTAACGTGTAAGCATCAGCCATTTTACTGAATAACGGTGGATACTCTTCAGGTGCTTCAAACCACAAGCCGACACTGACTACCGCAACTAAACGATAGGTAAAGCCGATCACAATGCGTCCTACAATGAACCAAGCGGCTATGGCCACGATGAATTGTTCTATCCCTAGCTCTACCCAGGAACCTTCAACATTGGTATTTTGCAGCTGCTGCTGTTCATTTTTGCTCAGACCTGTCTTGACAGCTTGTGAAGTCGAAATATCCAGAACCAGATATTGCCACATCGCAATCGCCGTCTCGCAGATCAGGTACCGGCGTCGAGAGATAGGTTTTGATGCATTCTTGCCATTCTTCTGGGTATAATATGCCGGCATGGGAGGAGTGTTCTTTGCTTCCTCGGGCGTGTTGATTTTCCGGGAATTAAGATGCTGTTTCAGGGCGTTTCGTAAGCCATAGAAGAAGCTCTTAACTTTGCTTGTTCCCTCGTTGGTGGCGACAAAGTCATCTGCTTCTTTGGGGTTGAGTAGCAGTAGATCCAGGGCTGAGAGAATGTTGAACCAAGCGGTGGTAGCAAATAGGGATGTTACATGCGATGGGTTTCTGACTGGGTGAAGCATTAAGCTGAAGATCCATATCATGAATGGTACGCACAAGTAGCGCAGGAGTGCGCCTTTTGGGGTGGTAATTGCCAGGATATGGGGGATTAGGTTTTGGGCGACGCTCAGGAGGAACAATCTGGACAACTGGTTGATAGTATTCGTCGGCCATGGTTTCAAAATAGGGATAGGTTGCGCAAAGGGGGAAAGAAATAGTGTTGGTATAGAGAACATGATTGGGAGTGGCTGGTAAGTTTTCTTGTGTCCTTGGTGGTGATTATATGCAATATGTTAATGTTGTTGACCGCTAGACTCTGTGAACGGTATATTGCTTCTATTATTGCAGAGATATGTCCCAATAAACATACAATAGTTGAATATTTTAAGTTGTACACCGCTGCGCTTGGAATTGCTATTCGATCATCATGGTGGTGTAGATGTCGTAAAGTAAATGGAGGAAAGAATTGTGATAGATAGATGACTCTTTTGGGGAAGCGGTAGCTTCGGATCGAGAGACAGATAATCCTTGAGAGTTGTGAGCTCATGCATAATGTTACAGTATCCTTTCGCAAACTATTCTGTGGATGTAGGCTCTTTTTGCCGATCTCTGAGTTATGCATCGTTCCGAGGGCGATTCCTTGCTCAGTTCAGATGCTTCCTGCCCTGACAAAGCAGATCCTATCGCAGCTTAATACTCTCCAAACAGGAAATACGACGGGTGAAATGTGATATCATATATTATACACTTTCCTGGCAGCGTTTGGCCAATGCTTCGAATGAAAGAATCTATCTATTTGTTAATATCAATGATACGTGTGCATAGACCTACCTCATTTTCAGGAATCTACTATCCGAGTTTGGAATATGTATACAGTGAGAGCTAAGAAAGGCCATTGCTCTGGATTAATCTCATTGAGAACACGGACTCCGTCCCACGACAACACTCAAAAGCTTCAACCGTACTCCCCTATCGCAGGTCATGCCGCGACAGCCAGCTCATTCTCCCCATCCAGTAGGTACTCACTCACAGCACGCTGCCACACCGCTGCGCGCTTATAGAAATGAAAGCCCGGCGAGCTGCCCTCCTTTAACCCAGCAATTGCCTCTACTAGCCTCGGCCCATTTCCTTCTTTCTTGACGTCCTGCAATGGGTACATATATGTGCGGACCACGAAGACCACGGCCCGTGAAATTGGTAGTCGAAATAGCATCTGTCTTTCGCAGCGTAATCGTGCCTGTAATGCCATTACTTAACACATTCTACCGTCACCATTTCTCGGAAAGGAAGCTGAAGAGAAGGAGGCAAAGACTTACCGTATTCACATCCAACTCCTTCAACTCGACTACTTCCTCCCCTTCATACAAGTGCATACTGCTGGCAGCATGCAGCTCCCCATCCACGGACACGGTCCACTATCAAGCAAGGGAATCACGTTAGCACAATATACCCTCCAGCATTGCAGAGGACACGGAACTATCGTTGAAACAAATGAACGAGCAAAAGGAAAGCAATAATACAAACATTCGCCCGCTTAACACACTCCCCCACCTTCAGCCTCTCTAGATACCTATCCATACTCGCCCTCAACTTGGTGGTATAATCCGGTACCGGAACATGAATACTCGCCAGCGATTTGCGGAACTTGCCTGCCCAGTTGAACCCATTCGGAAAACAGCCGATGAAGGCTTCCAGGGTCATCTGCTTGTTAGTACCTTCCTTTTTGTCATCATCTCGTAGGGAAGAGGGTTGTGGTGGCAAAAGAAGAAGGAAATCCTCTTCGACCTGCCTGCCAATGATAGCGAGGGCTTCTTCTGCGTCAGTTGGAGGTGTGCTGGGGATGGTTTCGCCGGTTACTGTGTTTCTTAGCATGATGGTGGGTGCTGATGCTGAAGTGCTAGTGGTAATAGAGACACGTTGAAATATAGTGCTGTACCGTCGAGGCAGGTAGTCATTTACAAGGAAAGAGTATAGTTCTTTGACGGCTGGGATGGAACGGGGACTGGCGCCGAGGACAGAGGCTCGTTTGTCTTGGATTAGTGTCGTGCGGAGTGTGATGCGCGTGAGGTAGTGTTTGTCGATTTGGATCAATTCCGAGAGAGTTGCTCTCTCGATGCCTGTTTTTCATTTGTAAGTTAGATGCATCGTATATCGGTTGGCTTAGTGGGGATAGTGTGGGTTAGGGTTGGTGATTGTTGGAGGAGAAAGTGGGTTAGCTTGCCCATTGTGATATGGTAGCGAGGCTTGAAAGGTCGGAGGATTAGAGGCTCGGTTTCGTCCCATTGGAAGTCGTTGAGGGGCTCGATGGGAGATTTAGATGTCAAAGAGGTGCTGGTGGTCGTCTTCTCTGTTTGTGAAGGCTTCTGAACTTCCCTCTTCTTTCTTAGGAGCCATACCAGGAACAGTAGCACTAAGGCTACACTGGTACTGAAGTGGTTCAGGAACATGACTGGTCGTCTCTATCCTGAATGAGAGGATGGATATGCTCTGTGGGTTGACTTAAGATCTACCATCAATCCCCTGGTTTACTTGACTGGTCATATAGGTAGTTCAATGTCAAGTCTCATCTACCTTGGCATTTGGAGATACTCATAAGATGTGATAAGACGATGCGGGGTAAACATTCTACTTGACGCCGCAATATATGATCTGGAATGTACGACAGACATGATAACGTATCTTTACTCTTAGAGTATTACCAATATTATACTGGTGGAAACAAGGTTGACGTCTTGAAATTGTACTACACCAATCATACATCCTCGGCGTCGGCGTTAAACGAGAGTCCTGCACAACTGATTGGTCAAATCGCCGAGCCTACTGTCCCCTAACCCTCATCACCGAGCATGATCTCATCATTCTAGATCACTCACTTCTCCAAGCCCTCTAGACTGGTTACTTGTTCAACATATTCGTAGATATGTCCCCAATCTCCACCACAGCGGTCGCTCGTAATATGCATCCAGAAACCGCAACTCCGCAGCAGTCAGCTCCCGATGCCCCGTGATAAGATCTGCAGTTGCCGGATCCCTCCATGGCGTTATATGCACAATCTTGTAACCAATGGTGAACACCATAATAACGATCAGACCAATCGTCGCTGAAAAGAAGTTATATGCTGTAAAAGCACCCCCACCCTAGTGAACGTGATCAGCAATATGCTGGGTCCGTGGGCTCAGAATGTATAGCATAGGACTTCGCCCTGATAAGAGTTCCAGGGAAGTGAGACTCACTACTGGCTTGATGCTGGTGTAAAGAAGGCAAACTAGTAGCAACGCCGAAACGAAAAGACTAATGACTGGCGCCAGAGGCCAATAAAGAGACCGCCATGCATAAGGGGTTTCAAATAATTGGCTTCTTTGCGCTTTAATCGCCGCCCGGAAGCGGAAGGAGGAAAAAGCGATGATCGCCCAGTTGGTGAAGAAGGACGCGTTGGTGATCGAGATAAACCAGTTAAGGACCTCGGTGCCGTCGGCTGCAGAGATTACCAATCAGCTTCAGAGACAGTAGGGGTAAAGGTCTGTGGTTATGGTCATTCATACCGCTCAAGCTCAGATATGTCAACACCGTACCTGCAACAGCCGTGAATGTGAGCGCCCATCTCGGACGGCCTACTTTGTCGACTCTCGCAATGAAGACCGGTAACAGTCCCTGCAGGGACATAGTGCGTAAGATCCGTGATGGAAGGTATATACACTCGAGAGAAAGGGCAAGAATGCCGAGTATTATGCACGCATTAATCAGGTCCGGGACCCCTGAGATACCCGCATCTTGGGCAGCTATGACGAAAGGCGATGAGACCACGCTCGAGCCATTCATTAATCGGGAATCATCAGAGTCCACTACAAGTGAGATTAATACCACCGAGACAAGGTAGAAAATCCCTACGCGCCAAGGAACAAAATTGGCCGAGCGTGCCATGGAATAGTGGGGAGATTCGGCCTCGCCGGCCATCACGCCAATAAAGACCTGGTCTCCCACGGCCCAGATGGCAAGTAATGCAGCGGTGGAGAAGCCCTGCATAGTTGAGTCAGTTCAACACGAAGACCATATTTATCTGGGAGGGGTAGCCAGTCACCCCAAAGCCATTTTTGAACATAGGAAAATCAGTCCAGGTGCTTCCATGTCGAACATATCCGGACGGACCGGCGCCTGCGATAACAGCTAGAGAGATGGCTGTAACGAAAAGGAATAAGAACATCTTGACCAGGGATCCGATGTATTCCAGCCATCCCAAAGATGCTGGTTGGCAACAGAAACACGCCGAGGCAAAGTACCAGGAAAATGGTAACTATTTATGGTAAGCTGAATGCCGGTCTTTCCAGAAGAAAAAGGCCAAAAGCCTGTGGCAGACTCACGCAAAGCAGCCTCGGGCACAACCTCGTCCGCCCAATAATTCACCAGGGTAACTACAAACATGGCTTCGGATGCAAATACTGACGTCCACCCTGTAGCGTTGTGACGCTCGTCAGCTCTATCGTAAGAGATCTGGATTCGTAACAAGGTAAAGAGCCACGGCTGGCCAACTCACCAAGCCATTCCGCAAATCCTGCCCCAAAGGCCAATGCTGGATCAACCCACCGATCCGCATAATCGATATAATTACCTGATGTCGGGAAAGCAATCGTCATCTCCGTCAAGGTTTGCAGATTCGCCCATACGCCAACACAAACCACAAGATACGCCAGAAACATATTAGCCGGACCTCCTTGGGCTAGGGATTTACCTGTGGTGATGAAGAGACCACTGCCAATGCTGGATCCGAGAGAGATGACCTTTGTTTGTTACTCATGATGCTCGGTTTCTCTGATGGGGTTCCCTGCAATTGAACAGTTGGTGATACAGTACATACATGGATCATACGTGGACTGAGCGTGCGATGGAGACCATCATTTGTTGTCTCTCCATGATCGACTTGACCTTCTTCAACGGACATCGACGGATGTAATCCGGAATACGTCTTGTCGCCATCATCGTGTTTCGTTTCGTAATCCATGATGTCTCTCATATTGTGCGATTCCTAGGGTAAAATAGCCACCAACGAACCGAGAATGGTCCCATTGATATACACCATCTGAGCCAAGAGATGTAGAGTGTAGTCCAAGCCAATCTGCACAAGGCCTGAGTTGTGGACTTGCATAATGAGTTATTAATGCTGCATATCGGTTTAGCTTCCCAATAGCAAATGTTTCCTTCACCTGATAAGGATGGAGGATTCTTATCCGGAGGGATAATGCGGAGATAGTGATGCATTTCGGTCAGATTGGCCAGTGATAATCCTAGTTGTGTGCTAGTAATCAATTTAGCTGCTTTAGTTGGATGTGACTAGCTAAGGAGTTCAGGCCCATCACTTTCGAAGAATTGAGCACTGTATTTTTATAGGTAGAGACTTAATATTAGCATCATTTTGTCATGAATAGGAGTGACTGTTAGTACCCTTGTAGTGGAAACGGTGGGGAAACCCATCATGAACCCAAGAGGTAGAAAACAAAAGTAGTTAGGGTAAACTTCTATAAGAGATTCTTGAAATAGGAAGAAATCAGACCACATATTCGTGTTGTTAACACTCTTAGTAGTATGTGAAATGGGTTGATCTTGCAATACTAAGTGCTATGTCGGTGTTCATATCTAGTCTATAGGAGAGGAGGGTGCGATGCAAAAATAGGAATTAATAGACTATAAATGTCACTTGAACCTTACATTGCTACTAAATTGATCATTTTTCATAACGCTTAACAAGATACTAGTATAGAAATTATTCAACCTGGTTGTTGACATTATCGGTCACATGTGATTACTCTGTAAGCTTTATACTATCGATAAAGGCTAGTATTAGTAGTACCACCACGAAAGCAGCGGCGCCCATATCAGGACAGCAATTCGGTAGGCATCAAGACTACCAATTCAGGAAACTATGCCCGCAGTTGTGCCAGTCCAAAAATAGTAATAAAATACATCAGTGGTAGGAGTCTGTGAGCACATCTAGCCACTCCCATTAATTCTTTAGTCCTCTCCACCTGGAGACCGATAAGCAATGATAATTACCCCGTGCTCACGGCAATAGTAAACAGAATGATGATCTAAACCGTTATCTACTTATCTGATCAGAGTCGATTGGATCAAATCGGCCGGGAAGTACTATATAACGAATCATCAAAACCCATTCACTGATCTCTCTTCCCCACTTACCGGACGGTTGGGGCTCGGAATCGTTCCGACGGTGTGTATGTCGCTATCATTTATCCGTGAAATTCCAAGTAGATGCTTGATAGTGGGAGTTACGATGGATGTTGAAGTGAAGTATAGATGCGACTGTATAATTTCGAATCGGCCTTGAAATCATTGGGTACGAAGACAAACTACTGTCTACTATTGTACTCCAGAGTGAACAAAAATCAATGCAATTGTTGTGTCTCATCAATCATCAGTAAAATCAAGTACAAGATAGTAAACTAGATATCCAAGCGTGGCCCGTGATAATGTCTTTTCGCATAAGCAAACCAGTTCCCTACCCCTAGGATTAACATGACGACTAGCACGACTGAAGCGTAGTCTGAACAGGTTGTAAGTGTTAGTTTAGCATACTTCTCATCACAACGGAGATAGATAGTAGGAAAGATGAAGAAACACATACTCATATTACTTCCGGTAACGGGGAATTCCGTCGGAAAGCAAAAGAAGATCGTCAGGATAAAAGCCCAGATAACGCAGATAACGTTACAAATGTAGCCTAGCACATTAGGAACTTTGAATGGGCGATCTGGAGGAAGGTAATGCGGATTCCGCCCGTTAACGAGGAGAAGAATTGCTGGGATGGCGTAGGAGATTTGCGCTACCACGACAGTGGTGCTGATAAAGGCGTTGAATGCTATTATTTATATGTTAGACCATATGTAGAGGATCATCGTCGGGGTAAACGCTTAGGCTTACCTGTTGTTGAGCAGACATAGACGATCCCGACCAGAAGCACTGCCGCACCATCAAGGATAATGGCCCAAACGGGGACTCCGAGCGTAGGGTGTATAGAGGAGAGAAAAGAGGAAAAGAATAGAGCGTTATCGCGGGCAAAGGACCATGTAAGTCGAGAGGCAGTCTGATGGACTGCGTTGAGTGCTACGAAGGAGACAACAAACAGTGCAGCCATGAAGACTGTCGCAGCTGTCGGGGAGTGAGTGGCTTTTTCCCAGATGAAGTAGATTGGAAATCTGTCGGTTTCTGGTAAGTAAATCTTCTTATTCAGGACTGGTGGTATACGTACCCCGTGGAGGTGGTTAGAGATGCTTCGATGTTGTCATAGCTGTATAGGATGGCGATGGCAAAGGGGAAACCCGTCAAAAACCCCACTGTCACTGTGGCAAGCAACGCCTTTGGTACGATGCGTGCCGGCTCGAGACATTCCTCTGCAAGGTGGAGTGCGGCGTCGAGTCCGGAAAACATGAACTGAGGCGTTGAGAGTCCTGTCAAGAAGGAGACGCCGTCCGGCCAGCCGCCTGAACCGTTGACGAACTGACTCCATGTGTTCGAGGTGTTGATATGTACGGAAGAGCGTACCGGGCAGGTTATGATAATAGCTAGGAAGGTTGAAATGGACAGGATGACTGCAAGAGGAGAAGTAGTGTATTAGTATTGTCTCCTGCGAATTGGAAGGGAGCTAACTAACAGCCTAGGTTGTAGACCCAGAGAGTCTTGTTGGTGAGGAAGATGTTGTAGGTGACCACTACTGCGTTCAGCAGTTGGTATACTAGGAAATAGTGCCAGCTTTGGGCTTCATATGAGGGCTGCCATCGGATGACAATAGCCATGAGCGCCTCTGTTCCGGCCAGCGCAATAGAGGCCCCAAGGGTAACCCATGCAAACACTGCAGCCATGCCACTGAAGTAAGACAGGCCACGGCTCCATCGCTTAGATGCCAGGATGGAAGTAAAATGGTACTGGCCACCAGCAGTGGGGTACACGCTGGCCAGTTCTGCCAAGGTCACCCCCGTACAGAACATGGCAGCAGTAACCAGTAGAATGCCATACAGTAGGGAGACTGCGCCGCCCGACTGAATTGCGATAGCAAAGCTCGTGGCTATGGCCACCCAGCTATTCGTATTGTTGTACCCCAGGGCAATTATACTGACTATGCTGAAATTTCGCTTCAGGTGCATGTCCGGGATGCCCGTAAGGGCAACCTGCCCCTTGTCCATGTCGACTTCGAGGTCTGCCGATGCGGCATACCCGGGTTTGAGGGGGGAGACCTTGGTATTGTCCGAATCCATGACCTCTTATGTTGTACTGCCGTGTGATGAGGCACTGCGGAAACAATATGCTTCAAGTGGAGGAACAACCATCTTATGAATCCTTCCTACGATGATGGACCTAGCTCCGCGTCCCCAGAAGGGACCTTGACAGATGTAAACGCCGATTACGATAGGCATCCCAGGTCGATAAGATCAAAGCGGTGAAGACTGATTTTCCTTGAATCAACCTATTCACCCAGGCCCGATACGGATGACTGATGACTGATACCCAAGATATCCCGGAACGCTTATCGAATTCCGAGACCTGTTATCACGTCCCGTCCAACCAAGAGGGAGATAAAAGAGAGACCATCCCCGGATTAAGGTTAGGGACGTTCACCATAGCGGAACTAAGGCGGAATTTATCATGAACTGGAGGTGATCGTCGACGATCGTGCGGGGGAAAGTGCGGCTAACGATGTTATAGCGTCGTGGAGCTTGCCCTATATCTCCAGACTCGCCGCCAGGGCTCTCAGGATGGCAGCTTCCCCGCAATATCCAGGCAGAGAGATTTTGGCGTCTATGGCTTCTATTGGTGTTTCGCTGCAGTGACCCATGACATGGGACCTGCCCCAGAGTAGCTTTCCTCGGTAGACGGGGCTTTCTCCGCATAGCGGAACGGACCCTGCTGGGCGCATTAAGATAGATTGAACATCTAGAACTCAAAGCTGTAGCGAGCAATCAGAAGGCACGATTGCACTTGTTTTTATTCAGGTCTGTTTTTCTTTTGGGATTGGATATCTTCTCCATAACCAGTCAGCTGTCTGGTCCGTCCAAAAGAAGACCATCCCGTATGGGTGGTCATCAACAAGAAGCTCCTGCCCCCCTTCTCTCGCGAGCTAATCGAATTTTGTCTAATTCTAAGTTTGTTAAGCCGCGTACCCCAATCTTCGTTCCAAGTTGGCATTCGTTTGTCCACCAGACCTACCTTCCCCGAGAGTCGCCACTTCAGCCCCGCATCTCATCCAGGTACTGGAACCGCGTTCCAGACGGCTTGTCTGTTAAGCGAGTCAGTGTGCGAAGTACGCATGATCTACGCCTCGCTGGAGCGATGAAGGCCCTTTCCACGAGTGAAGAGTGCTGCGGTAGCAGCAACGAATCCAAAACACGCTGACGCCAAGAACGACAGTCGTATGCCCCGGTAGTAGACCATGCGCGCAGCCAGCTGGATCTCTGGCGGCAGACTATGGATGGCAGACACTGAATGTCTGATATCGTCGATAACCTGTGCGAGTAGGATAATACTGATCAGCCATTGTTTCAGGGTAAGACCCAATAAATAAGGAGGAGAGTTACTTTCCATTTGTCAGGTATTCCACTCAAGGCCTCAGCGAGGCCTGAGCGCAAGGTGTTCTGGATGATAGTGGACGTAATGGCGACGCCCCACACCGTACCCATCGAACGAACCAGGTAGACGGTGGACGCTGAAACGGCGTGGTCTTGCAGATTAGTCAGTCAAACTGTTCATTCAGAATTTTCCCCTCTGTCAAAGGAACAGGAAGCGGCGGCAAGGTGCTCATACCGGTGTGATCGAATGCGGCAAGAAACGTGAACAAAATGCCTGGGTAGGTGATGCCTTGCCCAAGACTGGCAGGAATCATGGCCACGTAGTACTTCCACTCTGCATCATTGAACTGAAGAAGCATCACGAGTATGTTGCCAATGCACATGAGAAACGAGCCTGTACGGACCAGGTAGGCCAATTTACCCCAGCGCGACATCACGTAGCCAGAGATCACACCACCAATCGGGGTAGCGAGAGATGGTACAGCAAGTCGAGCACCAGCCTTAGAAGGGGAATCCAAAAGAATTACCTGGAACAGTAATGGAAGCGTGAAAAGGAACTTTGACAGTCAGCAGTGAACTGGGATACCTGAGGGAAGGGTCGCTCACCGCATAGGCAGCCATTCCCACACAGACATTGGCAATCTGCGTAGCAACAGGCAAAACGCCTTTCAACATTCGAGGGGGAATCAATGGAATTGCAGTTGTCCTCGCCTCAATGAGTACGAAAAGGCCCAGTGACACTAAACTTGCCACAAATGACAAGATCACCCACACGTTGGACCAGGGGAGCTCGTTTCCACCCAAGCTAAGACCGACCAACTGCGTTGAAAGACCAACAATCAGAGCACAAGCGCCAGATAAATCGACGTATTTCCAGATTGTCCGCAAACTTCTGCCTTCGCTGGCAAACTTGTCCTGCGTTGGAAGATTCAAAACAAGATGACCAGTGACCAGAGCTAAAAACCCGACCGGTACTTGTAGCAGAAAGCACCAGCGCCATCCAACTGAATCGACAATGGTTCCTCCGAACGATGCGCCACAGATGGAGCCGAATCCATGCACGACGTTCTGTACGGCTTGATACATTCCGCGACGGCGGAAAGGAATGAGATCCGAATTGATTATAGTAGCTGAACAACATTAGCCTCCCATCTGGGGGATTGACAAGCAAGAATGGAAAAATTTGCAAGTGCATACCCATTGTCATCAAGCCTCCACCGCCAATGCCAGTTAGCGCTCTCATCAGATTCAGAGTGACGATATCTTTAGCAATCCCACAACCCAGGCAACCGATCATGAAGGTTATTGTTGCCGTGAAGAAGGAGGTCCGGCGTCCGAAAATGTCTGAGAAGCGACCATATAGTGGCTGGAAAGCGGTACTAGTAATCAGATAGGAGGTTGTGAGCCACGAGGCGGTGTTGGCTGCGTTGAATTCGGAGCTGATCACAGCATAGGTTGAGGCAGTGATGGTGCCGTCGAAACCCGACAGGAATACATTCGACATAATGGCTGGCAGTGTGTTAGCCTCTCATTTCATGGATCAAGCAACAACCAACCTAGTTGAATCCAGATAAAGCCTACTGGAGGCTTCCAGAGGGCTTCAGCATCGGGACGCAGCAAGGGCTGCTCCTCGTGCGGTGTGGGCGGTGTTGTGCCAGAATCGTCTCTGGCCATGGCATTGGTGGAGGATCGCTCGGAGGAAGCACGCATGGCTGGTTCGAGTGCCTTTTCTGTCGCCGTCTCTGTGGTGGCAGCTCGAAGAACTTTGCTCGTGCCCCTCTGGGTACCTGGCAATAGATAAACTGCATCGACACACGGACCCTCTTTGTGGGGATGGGCCTGTAGTGTGTAGATAGCGGCCATGGCGCAATAGCGCAAGGATGTTGCTCACGTACGGTACCCGCTCTACCCTTAGCGAGGCTCCACCGTCGGCAGTGTCAGTGACAGCGAGCACGCTGGGCTGTCAGCAACCAGTTATTCCGTTGCACCTACCAAGTCTTGCTACTTAAACTGCAGATCCCTCGAAGGGCGGCGTCAACGCCGGAAAATCGAATCATAGTACTACTGCTGAGCTACGACTAACATTGATAAATCTTCTTCCGGAGAAGACCTGCTAACATATAAAGCAACTCTGGTCGACCCCCGTGCGGTGTACTGTAGTTCACCAGAAAAATTTCCGGATTAATCTCAATTCCCCAATCCTTTGAGATCATCCTTCCATTACGCTCGATCCATCATCCCCTTACGAGAGAGACGAATAGGTGTTTTCTTCACCAGGCGCGGGGCAATATTACAAACCATCGTATCGTGATGAAGTACATGTCTTCGATGTATCACCGCCATGACCTTGCCTTGACTGGGAGGCAAATCGATATATCGCTTGGGCCAAAGTTCGTCTTGCATTCGTTCATCAGATCTCTGATAGCCGACAATAGGCTACCCACACAGGTATCGAGTCGAGGAGTCTACATGGGCGTACAGTGAAGAGGCCAACTGCAAGACTCTGGATATGCACGCTCATTCTTCCATTGAAACTCCATCTTTCACTTATCATCATGTTGCTAACAAACAGAAGGGTTCATCTCAGTTATTCGTGTCATAGGGTAAATTCCAGCCGGTTACCCGCAAAGTCTCTGGCAAAAAACCGACTCGGATATTCGATGCCCTGGGCACCTACATTGAGAAAATCAAGGTCAGCGGGTCATTAGATGAAACCAACTCGAACGATACAGCAGGATAGAGCTGCATCCGCCAGGGAAACACCAAATCTAGAAGAGAACGAAGAGCGAGCAGAATAACCTACCCGAGTTTTGCTCCCCCGGCTTATCAGCGTGCAAGGGAGCAGCATCGCCCCCTCTCTGATGATGTTCCCAGATGCGCTGCTGCAGGGTCAACAGATGGTCCGGAGACCCGACTCTCAGGCAAGCGTGACGGTCGGAATGCAAATCGCTGTTGGAGCCAAAGGCTACATGAATCTGCTGGCTGCCATCCGGCGTGAGGTTGAACCTACGGCAGATTAACCACGACTGGCCCATCTTACAAAGCGACATCATCAATGGCTTACCATAGAAGGGTTCCTTTCTGTAGATGGGGAACAGGAGCTGATGGCAGACCCAGGGTGTTTGTGTAGAACTCCTCCGCCCGGTCGAGGGTGCCTTCCGGGACGAGGATGTTGACGTGATGGAGACCAGTAATCATATTGGCACACTTAGATGATCTAGACTCTTTATTTCTTTATTCGGGACCACCAAAGATGTGGGGAGAACAGCAACAGATAAAATAAAGAAGACCTGGGATCATTACCCGGCGGGTTATTGTTATTGTCTGGATGGATCGGAATCTGATTTCCTGGCCGGTGAGGGGTTGGGGATTCCCCGCGGGGTAAGAGACCACCACTCTTAGTAGTAGTACTAGTTGTCTTGTCTTTATCTCCCTATCATATCATTTCCACAGACATGTTCCTACACTCTCATCATCTTTCGAAACGCACGCTGGAGGCATACCTCTTTTGATGCCATGATGGGAGTCAACCAGTCAACCAAGTTAGTTAACTAGTTGTTGTTAGTCATGGACTAAGTTATTCAATCAGTGATTGAAACTTCCACAAATAAACAAGGTTATGGGATTTTATTTTCTTATTTTATTGCTTTCATTTTTTTTTTTTTTTCCTTTCGGAGTGGGCAACTTGAACTTCATGTTCCACCAGCAATATGGCCTACTTGAGAGCAGTGGACAAGAAAAGCTGTCCAGTTGGTCTTCGTGCCATTATATTCCAACTTGAACAATAAGTGCGATGCCGATTGCCGGTCGGAAGCGGAACTCGTTCCGCACTTCCCCCTTTTATGTTTTGCCGGCCGGCATCGCAATAACAATGAATCTTGTCGCAATTTCAACCCAACACTCCATTTGACATTGACCGTCTGACGTCGGCATCGGATGATCTCTTTACTGACAATGATCCAGATGTATAGATAACTGCTAGACAGTTATCGAGAATGCAAGCATGGGTTGGGCTTGGTCTTTCATACCTACCTCCACACCCTATCTTTTTTTTGCGACGGAAACCATCTCGACGAGAAGTGTCGGGCTGGGCCTGGCTCTCCTGGTCGGTATAATAGGACTAGTCCCCGATGATGGGGAATGTTCGATAACGCCATATCATATGCCGTCCGAATTCTGGAGAGCCTAATCCATGGCTTGGAGACCCGGTTAGACTTCCCGACCACTTCGTTCGGCTACGCCACTGCCCGAATTTTAAGTTGCCTGATTGTACTTCCCGGGCGGGCACAGAAGTCTACCGTCTATGACCCCTGCAGGCACATTTTGATAGCTACTACCTAGCCGATCTGATGGTCCGGCATCAAGGCTTATACCAGTTCGTATATGCATAGCGCCATGGCTGCTCCGTCTTATCCGGGACAGCCCCAGGGAATCCTCTATCCACCGACTCGGTGGATCTAACCCTTCGGGCTGAGTGGTCGATGCTCTTCCTTGATGACCCACTGAAGCATTTGGGTTCCGCCCAAAGCTGGGTGAAAGAAAGAAAAATGAGCAGCGAAAATTTGCAGGGCTTTTCTGGGGCCAACGAGCCCATAATCATATTTATTAAATATTAGTACCATGTATGAACCCCGTGTTCGCTAGCTGACCCCATTCTTTGACCATTTCAAGCCTCTCGGTTTGCCCACCCTCCAAAGTGTAGAAGGTGATTCGTGGTCATGGGTCGACTCCATGATGCAGACCGAACCGGAGACGACGACTCGTCCATAGCGGACGGTGTCTCCCTATCCCGTCGCCGCTACTCGCGGGGCGGACCACCCGGCGATGACAGTATCGAGCTCGAGCGAATCAACACCTATCGTCTCCAACAACAGCTGACTGTTGGATCTCGAGGAAGTCGCATACCGCAAGATCAATGGTTGCCTATTGGGGCAGGCAAGCCGTATCCCCCGCCTCTACCGGACTCCGAAGCATATGTGGTCGAGTTCGAAGGCGCGGATGATCCGATGCATCCCCACAACTGGCCCATGAAGAAGAGGTAATGCAACACAGCTCACCTGCCGGACTTGTATATAGCTTGACGGTTGCTGATGCCATATAGGGTCATGCTTGGATCACTTCTCACCTCCTGTGCCCTAGTGACCGCTTACGGCAGTGCGGTGTTTGCAACCGCGGCTTCAGGTGCTGAGAAGGAGTTCGGTTTTGGTGAAGAGGTCGCGGCTCTTGGAACGACTCTGTATGTCCTAGGGTTTTCGGCCGGCCCAACAGTGTGGGCACCTTGTTCCGAGTTGCTTGGCCGGCGATGGCCGTTGTTGCTCGGGATGTTCGGCTTCGACCTCTTCATGATAGCCACTGCCACCGCCAAGGATACCCAAACCCTGATGCTGTGCCGTTTCTTTGCGGGTTTCTGTGCGGCCAGTATCATTGCTCTGGTGCCTGCTAGCCTGTCTGACGTGTTCAACAACCACCAACGAGGTGTCGCTATTGCCATGTACACTATGTCGGTGTTCACCGGTCCTTTCACAGCCCCATTTATTGGTGGATACACCGCGTCAAGCTATCTCGGCTGGCGATGGACGCTGTACGTCCCTGCCATAGTTGGGTTCTTCTGTCTCGCATTGATAGTGTTCTTCACTACAGAGACCTATGCCCCAATCATCCTGGTTCAAAAGGCAGCCATTCTCCGACGCCAGACACGGAACTGGGGCATTCACGCTCGTCAGGACGAGCTGGAGATTGATTTTAAAGAATTGGTTACCAAGAACCTGGCGCGTCCGTTCCTCATTCTGTTCACTGAACCCATTGCGTTTCTGCTCACGCTCTACATGTCCTTCATCTATGGATTGGCCTATGCGCTGCTGGAAGCTTATCCTATCATCTTCGAAGGTACTTATGGCATGACCGGTGGTACTGCAGGGTTGCCCTTCATTGGGCTCATCATCGGTGAGATCGCGGGCAGCACATTTGTTCTGTCTTTGTCAGGACAATATTCGCGGAAGTTGGCCGCTAACAATTACGTCGCGGTACCCGAATGGCGTCTGCCCCCTTGCATCGTTGGTGGTGCTGTGTTTGCTGGTGGGCTGTTCTGGTATGATTGTCCCCACGATGTAAGACGTCCGACCCGGTGGAAATACTGATATGCGATACAGGTTTGGTTGGACTGGTTGGAACAGTAACATTCATTGGATGGCACCCACGGCTGCTGGTGTGGCTGTCGGCTTTGGCTTGACCTCCATCTTCATGCAGTGCTTTAACTATATTCTGGACACATACTCAAAATTGTGAGTACATCATTATACTCCCCCCTATATAACGACCCTTGGATTTCATGCTAATGAAGCAGTGCGGCATCTGCGTTTGCGGCCAATACCATGATGCGATCCATGGTGGGTGCTGTCTTTCCTCTCTTCACGCGACAAATGTTCAACAACCTGGGCATTCAATGGGCTGGAACATTGCTAGGATGCATTGCCGTGGTGATGATTCCTATCCCATTGATGTTCTACCTCTTTGGTGGCCGTCTTCGGCAGAAGAGTAAATTGGCCCCTGTGATGGATTTGATGCCGCCCGTCGAAGACGATATCAAGGAGGCGTAGTTAAATAGCTATTGTCCTGGGCTTTGCTATAAATATGATACTTAAGATAGACACAAATAGACTAGATAACATAGTTATAATTACATCCGAACTTTGAAAACCTGTTTTACCGAAATCAAAGAATGTAAGATCTAGGGGCCCGCGCTCCAATTCTGCATTGACTATCAAAGGCTTCTCTGCGCTCATAATTCAAAAATGGCTGTCTAGATGGTCTCAGTAATGGCCTCGACTGAGCGAATAGCATGATCTTCAAGTACGGTCTGTTTAGAACTCTGTCACCAGTTTTGCTGGCATCCGACTCTGAAACATTATCAATTCGGAAGTTTAAACCGACCACACAAACGACAGTATGAATGGTCGAAACCTGTTTCTCACTCTGTAACAACACACTTGGGCTTCATCTGGAGAATCTTCGTGTAACTTGACATTATATGAAGCTTCCAGGTACTTGGGTGCCTCTCGCATACCAATCCGTGGTGCAGGGAATGTAGCTCCTGCGTAATTACCCCGGGACAAGCTTTCCATGCTTCTCGGCTGGCTTCGGGAGTAACCTTCGTACCCTTCGACTCTCTTTAACTGGTATTAAGTTGTCCTGTCTTGTGACCCATTCATTGGAAAAAGGAATACTAATGTACCATTAGATCGAGACTTGGGCGAAGCGAAATATAGCTGGTGCTGATCACCTCTCCATTCGGCACCAACGGCAAGATCATACGCAATGTGCGCTTTCTGATAAATACTTACAGTCGCATCAATCCTATCACGCAGGACTACAAATTGCGTGGCTTGGTATGAATCCGGGGATCTTTCACTCCCCTTGATGAAGACCCCACGCAGCGCCTGCCCGTATACGGCAGCATTCACCAAGGTTTTAGATCATTGACGATGCGTCCTCGTTGCCTGAAACAAGACTAACGGCATAGCTAAGCATTCCCAGAATTCGGTGGCTGGGAGTCGAAGACGGCAGTGGACTATAGTCTACAGTATAGCAGGCGAGACTACAAGCCAGCTATCTACGTTTTATAAGATCTTCTTTTCCTGCAGTATCCCCTTACTCTGAAGCATGACTCGTGCTTTACCTCGTGTTTATTGCCTCATGAAAAGACTTGTCGATGCTTTATTGATCCAGCAGAGGGAGATCTGCGATCATATTCACCCTTATAGTCACTAGTATACTAGCCTAAGAGAGAGTCAACCGGACACGACACTACCATGGGCTGCCTCCAGATCTTCCTGCCTGGCATCGGCTCCTGCATTGCCTTCTTGCTAGGCATTCTCTCTCTCTTTGCCGGCAGTCAACGCCAGTTTCTACCGCAGGCAGACCTTCTAACCGTAAGTAAACATTATTACCAATTCCACCTTACAGCACTGATGCCCTCTTCAAGTTACACACAGGAGGAGCTGGTGGACAAGGCGCCCCCGATTACTTCTCCATATACACCATGTCCTACTGTACCGGGTACCAGGAGACATACATATCAGACGAGACCACCAATGCCACATCAACCAAAAACGAGATCGTCGACTGTTCCGACCGCACTGTGTTGTTCACCTTCAAGCCCGGCGAGGCCATAATAAAAGCCATGGGCACCTCATCAGGCAGTCTCTCCCCGGACAGCTGGCCGTCCTGGATAACAGACGATTTCGAGGCATTAGCTCCGACCAACACCGCCATGGTCTTGCTCATGATCCTTGGAACTACCGCATCCGCTATATCCATCGGAATCCGCATCTGGACGGTCGTGTGTGCACGGGCATCGGAAAAGAGCAGGCCGCCCATGTACCCTGGGAGGCCGGCATCTAGCTTCGATCTTGATATTCCGCCATCTAGTATAGAACTTCTTGCCTATCTGGTTAGTTCTGAGGTATAGCCCCTTATATCAACTTGGATTGCTAATGTCATGTCTACTGTGCAGGCGAGTCTTCTAACCTTCGCAATCGCTTCCATTATTGCTAGCGTCATCACAACCGAGTTTGTGAAGTTGATCAACAAATCCGGCAGTGGGTATGGGGTCTCAACGACGACGGGGACGTCGTTCATGGGGATGGTCTGGACAGCTGCGGTATTGCAAGCCCTTACCACGGCTAATAGTCTCGTTGCTATTCTCCGCTACCGTGCTCAGCATTGTCGGTGTGATTGGGATGAGTCGGCGTCGTCTGAGTCGGTGGAGCAGAAGCCGCAAGTAGGAGGGGAGTGATTGACTTTGCTCGTCTCGGTGTATCCCAGTGCGATCGCCTTGTAACCCCTATGTGTGTTAGCATATCCTATATTGACGTGTGTCTGTATCATATAAATATAGTTTGTTCTGATATTTTTGACGTAGTGTCAATTTCGGCATTTTCTCTCACGGCAGTATGAGTTGCAAGTTTTGCGACAGACTGGGGTGGACGGGCATTTGATACAGAATACACACGTATGGGCATGGTGTACAGTCTGGAGAGGCGACACGTGCCACTCACCTGACGGCGCCGATGATGCTCCCTGTTCTCTCTTTCCTTTTCTGTTACATTCTTCTACTTGTCTTATACCTTTTCACATGCATCTCCTATAAAACCACTCTGACAGAGATTGCAATTGAGAAAGATGAATTCTATCCAGCAAGTGCTAAGTTCTCTCATCAATTCCCCACCACGCTACCGATCTAAACAACAGGCTCCTAGAATACATCACCCGACAGAAGCTCCTCGCGCGATCCCAGATGGAACACGGGGATATGCTGCACGGGCGCAGGAACCTTGACGACCTGTCCTCCCGCATACGTCTCATTCGTCCACCAGTACGTCCAAGGCTTAGTGCTATTATCTCCCGTCTGTGGAAGATACACAAGCCACTCAGTGACGTTCGGCAAGGTCACTGGAGAGACCAGGAGACGTGGACCAAACATGTACTGTTGAGTTGTGTAGTTGCTGTTCGACGACACCAGCTGAGAGATCTTCGGGTCAGTCTTCTCGAAATCCATGTACAATGGGCGCATGATACTGCGACCCGTGAGGTGGAACTGGTTGAAAATCGACTTCAGATAAGCACCCAATTGGTAACGCAGGTGGATATACGAGACAATAATGGGGGTGTTGCTTGCACCATAGGACCATGGCTCATTGGCACAGGTGTAGGCGTCCTGGTAGTAGCAGGCCCGACTACCATGAGTGCGCATGAATGGCAGGAAGGTTGTCCAGGCCAGCCAGCGCACATACAGCTCGCGGAACTCGGGCGTGTCAATGTTTCCACTCCACCAAACGGTCGAGTCGACTTCGAAGCCGCCGGCATCTACCGTCCACCAGCCCCAGCCTGTTGCCGCGGCGGACAGACCACTGGCGACCTGCAGTGCCAGTGTGTCCCAAACGGAGGTGGTGTCTCCAGACCAGATCATACTGCAAAACCGCTGGGATCCGATGTATCCGGACCGACTCAGGGAGACGTGATCGCAAGCGCTTCCTTCCTTGGTGTCTGTCGCATTGCGGAAGCCTTCTTCGATTGCCTGCTGATGCGCCCAGGGGTACAACTTACCCACGCCGAGCTGCGTGCCAGCGGCGTAGTTCACGTTCGGCAGGGTATACGGAATGGACTGAATGTATGTGCTCTGGCCGTTGTTCTCATAGGCCTCGCCCAATGCTCCACCATCGGCTTGATCAATCCAGAAGTTCTTGATACCCTTGTCGTAATAGTTCTTCTTCAACATGCTCCAGAGGAATTTCCGCGCCGAGGGGTTTGTGGAGTCATAGTTCCGGATGTATGATCCGTTCCACGAGTCAGTGGTACCAGGGCCGTCGCGTGTGGCTGAGAGCAGACCGTTCGCCTGCAGGGCTGCGTAATTGACACTATCGTCGGCAACACTGGGCCATAGCGACGCCATCATTTCGGCTCCGGTCAGATTCTTGACTGTCGCCGACATCTGCGCGACATTGGGCCACAGGCGCGGATCGAGCGCCCAGTCACCCTGATGAGCCCACGACTGGTAGTCAATAACGATCATGGACACTGGGATGTCTCTATCATGGAAGTTCTGAGCCAGCAGCTCCACCTCCGTTTGGTTCTCATATCGTAGCTTGGACTGGATGTACCCGAGAGAAAAGTCGGGCGGGGTCGGTGCCCGTCCTGTCAAGGCCGAAATCCGCTGCTGCAGAGTGTCGTAATCACCTGGCTGTGCGGCGACAATTACATAGTCGACAAGCGTCGTGGACGCGGCGGTGAACCTGGTGCGCAGGCTGCCAAACTCCATACGCCCCTCGGCCGGCATGTTCCAGATAAAGGCATAGCCTTTGTTGCTCATGAAGACTGGGGTAGGGATGTGGGTGTTGAAGTTGACCATGTCGATAACGGAACCCTTCTTGTTGATCATATGATCTTGTTGCGTGCCCGTGCCATAGATCTGCTCATCCGGAGTCGCACTGAAGGAGAACTCGGCTGAGAATTCGGCCCCGGGTCCCGGCCAGTAATAGTACCGGGGGTTGAGAGACTTCAGCGGAGCATATTCGTTCGTGAGCAGGGTCTCACTGCCATCATCATTAACGCGGTAGAAGGACAGACGGTATCCGGCCGTGGTGCCACCCCAGCCAGTGGTGCGCAGGATGATATTGCCGTTGCGCAAGGTGCGAGGCTCCGTGCCGGTTGTTGCGGTGTCATAGCTCATGCCATGTGCGGTGTCCTCATAACCTTCAATCGGGGGATCATAGATGAAGCTAATCTCGTTGCCCGAAGGCGGACGGAATGGCCATGCGCGCACGCGGAATCCGTCGTACCCAAACGGCTGGATGAGGATGGTCTCGAAGCCATGCTGGATACGGAGACCAGTAGAGTTTGGGGCAAAATAGGTTGCTGCTGCTGCCTGAACCAGGGCCCCTAGGGCCAAAAAGGAAGAAAAATACATGATTTGGGCCTTCTATGTCGAATTCATGATACGGCCGAAGGAATTGACGCCCGCGTTCCGTCAATGCAGGGGCAAGTGCTCTTCGCTCTTGAGATGTCTTCAATGACGATTTAAATAGGCATCGCCCCGAGATTTAGCCGATTAGGCTAATTGCATTCTACGCAGCTGAACAGGCCATTATTTGAAGGGAATTGGTCGTACGAGGGGGTGCAGTAGTGTTCCAACGGTGGGAGATGCTAACCGGGGATGATGGAATGGGCTGTGGAGATCGAGATGCGGAGAGATGTCGAGAACGGGAAAACAGGCTCACTAGTGGACGGCGATCCACTTGGTCTGGCGACCCTTCCGACGGAGGGGAGAGAGCCCAATGTTGTCTAGGATGGCCAATGTGACCATCATTGAACAGGGAGGGGGCATGACAGAGGATGATTTGGCTGGGTTCATTACACCATGTTTTCTACACTCGTGCTGGGTCCTGTTGGGTTAAGGAAGGGTTATGAACCAACAAGGGATCATGACGGGGAGGGGAAGTCGGGAAGAATGAGAAGAGGTCCACATTTTTGTTGACCCTCTTCGCGGTGATCGATCCAGGGTCTGTTTCCCACTGGGAAAGGAAAGCACTGCGCTATTCGATTCCCCTGTCTACTGTCAATCTCTCCAAGCAGAATCATCATTGTCATGGCCCGTCTTCATCGCCGAACTACCTGGCTGTTGGGACCCATGCAGACTATTGGCAAATGGCGATCTACACGCCGCATGGAGCTGACCGAAGCAGTGCCTTACATTATTTTCAGGATACAATTATGGCACCCCACCAGGATTGCTCGCTCCAGAGTGGCGGGGAAATCTCAATCCGCCATGCAGATCTGACGTGTCTTTGCATCGGTCGCATTGATTCCTTACGGTGTCGGTTCTTCCGACCCCGATGCTCGTTGAGCAGGTCTTAGCGGCCGGTTCTCGCAGAACGGGGACGCAGGCCCATTTTCTCGGTGGTCAATTAATCAATACTGACAATCCATTCATCTCCGGGCCGGGATTTGAATGGTTCAACCTAGGACCGATGCGTCTACCTTGTCCGACGCCAAAGGCTGCTAGTGGCAAGGAGCGAGCTTATATGATCGGACAGGGAATGATCGATCGTTGGCGTACGGTATTCAAAGGTAAATGGACAGAGTGGTTAACTTAATAAAATGACTAGGGTTTATGACTGGGCATGGACAGGCAAGTGCGGTTCAGTTTACTCCCACCTCGTAGACAGCGGAAGATGCCGACAGCCCCTGTCAACACCACAAGACGACTTCATCCATAACCAGCCAGAGAAAGCCATCCCATGTTGCTAACCCATGCCTTCCATAGGAGGGTAAATTTTGATGTTTATTCTATCTCAAGCATCGCAAGTGTGCAACCTGAACAACTTGAAAGCACACCAGCCCCTCGCCGCGGTGATGGAGGCATATTTCAAACTACCCATGGATTGGTGTATCGCTGACGTCAGAGGTACCTTCCACAAGTTCTAGATATGGCCCAGGAGTTTGGAGAAGCTAAGTATCATACCCCAGCATATATCCCCAGACTCCCTGGATGATCTTTGTGGGGATAGGGGTTAGCCACCCCAGACGGGAAAGCCTTCTCCCCGCAATTCAGAGCAGAAAGATTATCCGGTCCAAGGATGACTCGATGCTTTTCTCTTCACTACCCGAGTATCCCACTCCTCTCTGTCTCTCTCGCAAGCACACCTCTCCATTGCTCTATACAGCCATCATGCCTATCTCCTGGCCACCTACCTCCATCCCAAACGAATTTGGCATTGCCACTCTTTCTCTCGGCAATGCCATTCACCATAAACTCCAACCCCGCCTCGAAGCCGCAGCGAAAGCGGGTTACCGTTGGATCGACCTCTTCGACGAGTGCTGGGCAGCCTACCTCGAGGAACATGGACTTCCCGGTGATCAGCTCTGGGAAGCGACCCCTGACAACTTGCGGATTGCCCGTAAGCTCGGCGACCTAGTCAAGTCACTAGGTATGCGTATCGCATGCACCCAACCTCTACGCTGCATTGAAGGTATCAAAGATCCGGCGGAGCGACGAGCCACGTTGGACCTTGTTGCTAAGCGCTTCCCGTTCATGCGTGCCTTTGACACGGATCTTGTGTTCATGTGTGCGAATATCCGCACCGATACTGGCGTCACCTCCGACCTGAAAACAGTCGCGCGCGATCTCGCAGAATTAGGCGATATGGCCAAGGCATACTCCGATGCAGATGACGGTCCTATGCTGCGTATCGGCTACGAAGGACTTTCTTGGGCAGTGCGAAATACCTGGGCATCCACTTGGGAAGTCGTGAGAATGGCTAATCGCCCCAACGTGGGTCTTATAATTGATGCATACAACGTGCTGGGTGTGGAATATGCGGATCCGTACAATCCCGCAGGTCATGGCCGCATCTACCCGACTGTGGAGGAGTCCACCGATGTGCTGTGTGCATCCTTATCGTCCCTGGTAGCTTCCGTGCCTGGAGACCGCATCTTCTTCTTCCAGGTAGGTGACGCGGAGCGAATGGATCCTAAGAGATTCCTCCCGCCGACAGATCCCAAGATACCTGCCCTGCTACCGTGGTCACGCGGGCATCGGTTGTTCCCCTTTGAATCAGAGCGCGGGGCATATATGCCAGTTCATCTGGTTGCAGCCGCGGTGGTGGCGACTGGATACAAGGGACCAATGTCCCTGGAGGTGTTCAACAATTCGCTGAGTGTTCCAGGCGAGCAAGTCGCCCCTGAACATGCGGAGCGGGGGATTACAGGGCTTCGCAAGCTGGCCGAGGCAATTCCTCGAGTCCCAGCGTATTGGGAAATGTGGCAGCAGGGAATTCGGTCCATGAGGCAGGGTCGTTTATAGTGGTGCAGCTTGACTGTCACTGATACAAACACAATTAGTATATATCAGACTTTAAAAATATTTAGCGCCTGAAATTTGATCACACATCCGTTTTCTTCACATAGGCCAAGCATTTCTAAATTGCCGACCGCTGTTATTAAGCACTAATTCTCTATACTGACCGGCACCTGCAGTTTATATTTCACGATGACCAGTGCCCACAGCGACAACCACAAAGGATCAGCTTTCAAATGACACCCCCACCTTCAAACCACTCCCTAGTCCTCCGATGGCTCGACCCCCCCCCCTCTCTCCTCTGCCTTCTCTTTCTCCTCTTCTTCCCCTCTTCCACATCCTCCCCCCTCCCCTCCCTCTTCCCATAATAATACCCAAGCCTACTAGGATGCCAAATCAACAACAAAACCATAACCAAAAACATCAACAACCCATCAAACACATACATCCACACCTCCTTCCTCTGTAGCACTCCAGTCCTTCCCTGCGCAAACTCCACAACCCTGAATATGCAGCGCGCTATAATCAAAATATCCACGATGTACAGCACTCTCAGCAACTGTCGCCATGGGGGAAAGCGACGACGACGAGGTTGATGATGACGGTGTCTACTGCGCGTCCGCCGCGGCGGGTATGGACGTTTGCTCATTCGCGCATCAAACACCCCCGAAGCGAGGATGAATAGCCCAAAAAAGATGACTTGTGCTATTAATCCACCGATGATTATCCAGTTACCGAGTTTCTGGCGGGATGTGTTTGATTTCGAGGAGGTCGTTGAGAATGATGTTTGGGAGAGGATTCCTCCGCCTACATATAAACTCAGTTCATGGTTAATATTCATAGTAATAAATGAAAAGCTTGCGCCACACTTCAAAATTCGAAGGATGGTTGGGAAGCTCACCCGTCGCCTGCCCCAAAATGGCAACCACATCCCCGATAACAAAAATCCTCGTTATCCAACGAGCTGGCACGGGTGACCGCTCCTCCCCCTTTGATACGCGGATAATCCGGGATAGAACCATGTAGATAGATGCTGAGAAGAGAGATGGAGCGAGGAGCAGCAGCAGCTCTTGCATTATGTATGGTGCTGTGGTCCATTGGAGAGGCGGTTGTTGGCTGTTGATTATGCGGGCTGTGTAGCCGGTTGTTTCGACTATATATGTATCAGTATTTAGTGAGTGGGCTGTTACTGCTTGTGATTATATTGAATGAGATGTGAGGAAAGATAGCATACATATCCCCCCTATTATAAACGGAATAAAGAACCATGTTCGCTGCGCGAAGTAGTGGATTAGATGGCATATTGTAATGAGGCCAAAGCAGGCGGTTGCTGTAATGGCGGCGGCGGTGGAGGGTGTGTATTCGTAGAGGCGGTATTCTGAGGCCATTTTACGCTTCCATTGTTGGGTGGGAAATTTGAAAAAGACGAAGAATTATGCATGGTGTTCTTCTGGGATTTTCTCTGTTATTTATGCTGAGTGACGTGTGCTGTTTACGAGTAGTTTATCTAGGCTGTAGTGGTGGTTGGATGTTGATGGTGGTTTTTGTTATTGTCGGTGGTGTTCGTTTTCGTATCCGTTGCCGGCTTGGGGTGGTGCTTATGCTTATCCTTGATTTAGGTTCAGTGTTGTATGATTTGCTGCGCCTGTGAACTACTTCTTGCGCTAGATAGATAGTAGCTGGTTGCTTGTCAGATACTTTTTAGTAGGGTTTGAATGTAGATAAGTAGGTGGAATTCAAGGTTGTCGGTAATATATATATAGTATATATAGATACTTTTCTTCTTAGAATCGAGAAATGAATTTCATCTCAGTTAGTTTATGCTTGTATTGATTATTCGCGCAGAGGAGGGCTTAGGAAGATGGTTGTGATTTTATATATCCGTCTAGCTGTCTATGATACACATGGAACGTATCCCAATCTTGCACCATATCTTCATACATTACATTGCAGGAGACACATCAACAAACCTGAGCCCGTAGCCCACTGCTGCTACCCTCGACTCTCCCAGCAGCCCGTTAATCTCACTCGGGTGGAACCGGATCAGAATACACAGTACCAGGAACATGGGAACCGCATCGAAGACATAAATGAAAGCTTCGTGGGTGATCACGTATCCCTCCTGTCCCTGGATGTATTCGATGAACCGCACAATGGAGCGAATAAGAATCAAGGAGCTGGACGCGTACAGCGAGAAGAAGTGCTTGCGCCATGGGATCATAGGCGATTCGGAGCGTACGGTAGGGTGTCGGTAGATGCGACGTTGGAAGATGATGGCGATCACGAGGAAGAAGCAGAAGAAGATGATCTGAACGAGAAGTCCGCCGATGATGACATTCTCGCCTGTATTATCGGTCGCGGATTTGGATTGGACCATGATTCCGGCGCCTGTAAAGATCAGTATAGTACATTGGCGGATGATTGTAGGGAGTTGACGGACCGGACGACTGCATCAGGAAGGACAAACAATCCCCCACCACGAAGATCTTCGTCAGCCATTTGAGTCGGATGATCGAGTGGTGTTCTCCATGCACGAGGGCGATAATCCGGCCGAGGATCATGTAGATGGTGGCAGCAAACAATGCCGGGGCGATGAGAAGAAGGGTGCTCTGAATGATGTAGGGGCCCAGCGTCCAGTTGGGAGATTGGTTTCCGGACATGGCGCGACCGATATAACCGACTGTTTCAACTGCAATTCAATCCCAATGTTAGCTGAAGAGGTCTGGTGCAGGTTTTGGCATTGCACATACACATTCCACCTATCAAGGCTGCAATGGTCAGCCATGCTCGCGTTCGAATAAGCTGGTATGTGAAAATAATGACGCCGATCAGGAAGAGCATGATCATGACCGCGGCGCCTCCCACGGAGGGATAGTAGGCGTATGCCGTCCAACCGGTGGCCATGATGATAAGCAGGTGATGCCCGATTGTAATTGAGAGGTCGTGATGGAAGACTGGGATTGGGATTAGACTGGTCCATTTCGATTCTTAAGTGACTGCGACTCCTGAAACTTGCTATGCCTAGAGAGAATTCTTCGATGGCCGTTGTTGACATGGTTGGGACTATGCCTCTCGTATTTCGTACGCTGAACCATGTTCGGTTTAGTGTGTGGAGTTAACCGCTTTCTTCAGTCTGCTGCTTATTATAGTCTTGGTCCTATACGAGCAGATCAGGCAAAGAATCCGAATGCACGGACCAGTGCCATGATAGGCCCACTCATTGAGATGCCAGGCATGGCTTCCCTGTCATTTCACAGCAGTGGGAGGTGCATCTGACCATATCAGCACCGAAGCGTACGTTAAGGAACGCCTGGACTTGTAGATCGCTCTGAGAACAGCCAGCGTCTGGATTCCTGATCCACCAGATTTTTGAGCTCCGGAGTCCTCTTCCAACAACATACCTCAAACTTTAAGTAGCCCAAAGGTATCTACAGGGCTGGTTGGGCAGCTGCATACTGTGACATAACCTCAGGTGCAGCGAAGCATTTGATCAAACGGGGTTTCTTGTATCTTTTCGACTGTCCGTACAGTTGGAGTGCAGATTCTCCAGGTCGCTTAGGTGGTCAACAAGCGGTTTTCAGCGTCCATAGAAGGGGTAAAACATCTAGCAAAACAACGAGGTGTTTCAGGGCATGCCTTGTACGTTGAATTGCGCTTTCACATCGAAAAACATGCATAGCAAGACTGCAGTCTCTTCTCAGGCCTCTCAATGATATCAAAGCAGTCTTGTCGAATAGTGTGAATTCTGGGACATACTGCATTACTGGGAGGTAGTAGTTGTTGTAGTCACAAGAATGCCCCAGTGAGAGTCAGTCGTCAAAATTCATGCCAGCCGTTATGCTGGTGTGTGTGTGTGTGTGTGTGTTGTGGTGCTTCGCCTCTTCAACTCCTTAAAGGTGTTCAGAGTCACAACTCCTAGATGCATCGGTTTCTCGAAACTCTGGATATTGGATATTTCGATCGTCATTTCTCAATGCATTTATTTGGCAGCAGCAGCAGCAGTCTCGGGTAGAAATTTTGCTGAGAAATCGCATGCAGCGGTTTCAGGAAGCTATGGAGGCATGAAATGAGAAACGAGAAACGAAGATCGGGAGGAGATTGGATGGCGGCAGTCGTATGACACGTTGACATGGATGGAAACAATGACCCGTCCCATTCTTTCTGATTCTATTGCCCCATTGATCATGGCTTCTATGGAGGATTTTCAGTCGATCCCATCTCTCTGACACACAGCGGCAGCGACATTCCGCGGTTAACCTTGTTTTGTCTCCTGGTCCACCACTAGGACCCTCCTGTGCGTCGGTGATTAGGGTATATTCCTCTTGGATACTGTAAACCCGAGGCCTCGGATGTGTTGCAAGTTGTGACTGCATGTGCGCGCTCTGAAGAACACTGACTGTTTATATGCTACTAAGACATCCGCATGGAGTTGTAGAAAAATTGAATGGGCCGGTGGGATCCAGCAGGATGCCTGCCTGTGACCTCTGCGAATGGGCGGATAAAGAGAGATCCGCGCACGGATCCTAGAATCCCTGATGATATGGATAATATACATGGTTCAAAATCATCCGGAATCAACGGCACCACAGCAATCTACGGCTGAAAGAAGTCAACGGCGGTGCTGGGGACGGTTCCTGGATTACTCGGAGACCCTTCCCTAGCTGGGTCTGGGTGCTCAATCTATCATCAGTTTCACGCCGAAGACCCACCCCGGATCCTCTCAAGAATAAGATGCTGTGAGAAATCTGGCCATCCAAGGGTCTCACATTAAGGGCTTATGACAGACTAGCCAGGCATAGGGTCTCTAACTCAGGGGAATCGCGTATCCTAACGAATTAGCGTTGGACGTCGAGATTAAAGCTGCAGTCAGTGTCAACAGACCGAGTGGCCCGAATTAGCCGAGCTCATGAATTATGTGTGTATCAGATTTTCTTCGCAGTGGTGGACGATTTATTCGATCGGTCCTCACGGTGTTTGGATGGTCATGACTCGCGCCGTGACGTGTCGGGGTCTCAGATAAGTGATGGCTGCAATCGTGAAACACGCTCCAGGGGCAACAGGAAACCCTTCATCAAACCACTAGCAGAGCAACTCCCCGTCTCGAGCTCGGCTCTAGAATGCTAACTGCCGACGGTGCCAATCATACCTGCGAGTCAGACCCCCTGGCTGGACGCTATGCGGGGCCGACCGAACGTTCTTATTAAAAAAGTCTCCACCCGAGTTGAAGATGGGTCGGTTCATGATGCATCCATGCTAAGCTCCGGAGGAGGTGGCTGAGCTTAGCTTATTGATTCTTGACTTCCAGCTAGACCAACGGTACTGTGGTTCTCGGCTCTATTGATCCGATGTTATCAATCTATCATATAAGAACGTTGGGTGTTCAACGTTGTCCATGATTGAAATCTGGAATTCAACGCCCTCATTGTCCTTCCTTTCACTTTGTTTTTTTTCTAGTATCTTAACACTCTTTAGTCTTTCATTCTTTTCATCATGATGAAGCGCAGCGCGCTCCTTGCCTCTTTCCTTCCTCTCGCCCTGGGGTGCGACAACCCTGAGACTCACTCCTGTGCCTCTGCCTTCTCCGTCTCCTCTGCGGCGGCCGCTACCTTCTGTGCCACCTTCACGGCGAGCACCGTGACTGCCACGACTGGTGTGCCGGATGTCTTCCTCTCCAACTGCGACTACAAGACCAAGCATCTCTCCAGTGCCTGCAGCTGCCTGGGCACCTCTGACGGATCTGCTCCCGCTTCCACCCCGGCTGCCCCAGCAGTCGCCAGCAGCAGCAAAGTGGTGAGCACCAACCAGATGCCTCATTACGATTTATTTTACTGAACCAATGTAGGGCAAGGCACCTGCTGTTGCAGCAACCCGCACCTCAGCGATCCCTACTACTTTTCACACCACTCCAATTCGTGTGCCCGTGTCCACCTCCGCTGCGGCGGCTGTGACCACCCAGGCTGTCGTCCCGGTGCAGAGCTCCGTGGCAGGCAATGGCGGCACCACTTGCACGGTGACTGAGTACGCCTCAATCTCCTCCGCCGTCGCATCCTGCTCCAACATCCTCCTGTCCAACATCAATGCCCCTGCATCGAGCACCATTGATCTCTCGGGCCTGCAGACTGGCGCCGCCGTCATCTTCGCTGGTGAAACCGTAAGCCACCTCCCCTATATCAAGTCCGATCACCATACTAACAGAAAGACCGATAGACCTTCGGCGACACCTACGACAGCGACTTCGACCCCATTGTCATCTCCGGTACCGACGTGACCATCACCGGTGAGGAGGGACATGTCATCAACGGTAACGGTGAAGCCTACTGGGACGGCGAGGGATCCAACGGCGGACAGGACAAGTGAGCTCCTACCAGCATCCCCTTTTCATGAATGG